ACAAAACCACAACACCCTGCCATGTTCCTTTCTCCCGGAATGATAGGAAACTGTAAAGTCCCTTAGCCTATATATATCCCAATTAATCAGCTTAAAATGCATTGTCTAGCTACCTAGATACAATACACTTAAAACAAAATTGATTCTTCTTGCATTTACCAAGGCAAAATGAGGTCATGCTACCCTCCCCTTGCTTCCCACCTGGTTACATGGTTGTGATCTGGTTATGAGTTTTCTTAGGAGAGGCCTACCTTTGAAACAGACTGATGTCACAATCTAGTTCCTGAATCCAGACAGTGTCCTGACCAGTCAGTTTTTGTTCAGCATTCAATAAACTACTATGTGTCTGAGTCTGGCATTTGAGTGGTCTGGCTGCTGCTATTGATGAACCCATGACATACTGATAAAATAAACTAAAACAATAAAAAATATAGCAATATACCACTTTCTTTGCAAATGAGACTTATTATTCAAATTGTCCTATTTTTATCTATCCTTAGATGACAATGATTACAATTATAAAGAAAATACTTTATGATGTAATGTTTCAACCAATGATATTTGAGACTCAGCGAGATGGCTCAATGGGAAATGTCCCACTGAGTGTACAAACCTGGCAACATGATGTTTGATCACCATATGATGGCAGGCAAAATTAGACCCCACAAAGTTTGTTTCCATTCTCTATATCTGCTCTGGTCAATCCTTAATAATAAATTACATACATGCACAAACACACACAACACAGAATTTTTAAAAATAAATCTCATTGCTGTGATATTATCTAGCGTCATTAAATAATTCCAAAAGAAGGAAGTACTTCAAGATGAAGTGCCAAATGGTTATCTAATGAGAACATGAAGAGTTGTGGAACACCACATAATATATACATATCCACAGAACATCAAACTATATTATGAGATATGTTCTGGGCCTCTCTGGTCTACTTATATACATTTAGGACAAGCAGGTCTACACAGAGAAACTTCATCTTCACAAACAAGCAAAACAACAAGACCAAAAACATAAAAACAATTGGAAAGCAAAATAGCTTAGCACTGAATAAGAAGTGTTTCTACTGTTTCTTATGTGATTTAGTGATAAGAGTCTATAAGTGTGTAGGCATGGCAGCATAAGAAGGAATGTGACTGATTAATTTCAACAACACAGCAGGCACAAAGAATAAGAAATGGGTTGAGTCTATATACACACAAATCCATTACCCAATAAAGAATCTAGAAAGGTTCTAAAAGCTCCACAATGAAAGCCACAAAAGAACAGACAAGTATTCAAAGGCATCATCCCATGTGAGAGCTTTTTTGTCTGATCAACTACATTCTATAGGCTCATGGTGAATCCATGATAAAAATGCATTTAGTCTTACGTCAATGATCCTCAGAGTCCAAAACAGCTCAGACACTGCACAAGTGTTCAAGGTCTGTTTTGTCACTAGATAATCTCTTCACTGCTGCATCTTGAAAAATCAGAAAGCAAGTTATATCTTTACAATATACAATGGTGCAGAATATATTGTCTAATTCCAATAGACAGCAATGTGTACAAAGTGAGGGAAGACCAAGGCAGGAAAACCAGTAGGGCAAACAACAAATCCTGTTGCTGATCTCAGACACATGTGTCTTGATTTTCACAGGGCTTAGGTGGCCCTATACCTGCAACTTCTCATACATCTCCACATTTGGTTACTTCCACTACCTATATGCATCTCTCCATGACAAGTGTCTCATTGCTTAGGTATATCAACGTCTTCAGGTCATAACGTGAAACTCAGTCTTCATCTAACAGTTTTATGCAATACACCCTCACAGTTTTCTTAGTAGGGCTCTGACTCTGCTAGACATAGATGAATGGAACAGTGTTAAACTAAAAGCACAGAGGAAGAATCCATGACCTTAAAATTTGCATCTTTCTTGAAGAACCAACCAAGTGTCCCTCCAAGTCTGGGTTCTAAGGTGGGATGGACCCTGCCATTCTTGGATCACAGTTGCAAGCATGTTTTATAATAAGTTCCTTCATGAGACTAAGAATCAGTTTGCCTACTCCTTCTAGTTGTATCTCTGTGAGTTCCAGGCCAACCTGGTCTACACAGCAGGTCCAGTGGAGACAAGAATACAAAGAGAAGGCCTGTCTTTAAAAACCAAAAAAAAGTAATTATACGCTGTTTCATGCCCAATACAGCATGACTATGAGATTCTTTTTAAGTGTACAATCCTTTAATTATTACTACTGTCTTCATTCTTTTAGTACAATGTCCTCCTTAGGCATTCAGCTTGTCCATAACAAATGAACATTGAGGTTATTTTCATATTTAGGCCACTATGAGTTTAAGTACAATGGTATGATAATGCTGATACTTCTCATTAGCAACTTCAAGTGCATGGAAAAATCTACTGAGAAGATTGTGGAGATCCACAGCAATTCTGTCAGTTTATGACAACTCTGTATAGGCAGTGTGTAGGTATTCCATCAAAATGTCTCAGAATACAAGTAGGAAATATGCACAATTTTACATGAACTGTAACAATACCAGATGGTTTTAATTTTAGTCAGTGTTTGTGGAAAATCTAAGATTTTATTTTGTATGTTCAAAAAGATAACAGTGTCACATTCAGATTCATTGCTCAGTTCTGCAGCATATTTTAATTTCACTTTTTGTTTTCTCAGTTAAATCATACTTAGTGGGCTGTCTTTTTTGTGACCATAACAAGTTGTACTGCTTCACTAAACTTTATACTAAAATCTTATTTCTATAACATTGTACATTGTTTCATTACCATTTTTAGTTTCACCCATTCTTACTGCAAAATGAATGATTATAAAATGTTTACCCTCACATCAAACTGTAAACCACATCATTAATACAATGCATTTTCAGACAAAATAGTGTTGGGTATATTCAATTTGCAGCACAAAGTTAAAACAATCCAATAAAAAAAGAAATTGGGGCAACAACAAACCTTCCAATAGTCACACATAACATAAAGTATGTCAGGTTAACTCTTACCAAGCAAGGAAAAGATACATATGAAAAAAAAAACTTCAAGTCTCTGAAGAAAGAAATTGAAGACATCAGAAGATAGAAACACTTTCCATGCTTATGGATCAGTAAGAATAACAGCAAAAATGGTCTTCCTACCAAAAGAAATCTAGAGATTAATGCAATTCCCATTAAAATACCAACACAATGCCTTACAGACCTTGAAAGAACAATTCTCAACATCATATTAAAAAAAAGAATAGTTAAAACAACCCAGTACAATAAAGAACTTCTGAAGTTATCTCCATCCCTGATCTAAAGCTACACTATAGAGAAATAGTAATAACAATGGCATAGTACTGGCAGAGAAACAGACTTGTGGGTCAATGGAATTGAATCAAATACCCAGAAATAAACCCACACACCTACAGAAGGCAGGACTAAGGCCAAAAATTTATACACTGAACACCCATGGTGTGTCCTTCTCCCGATCAAGCTACTTAATACTTCCAGCCCCCGGTACTACAGCACAAAATCTCCACTTCCCCACTCAAAAGACTAACATATCAGTGTTTTGTCTGAGAGAAAAGTCCTGCTTTTGGATATACCTGTCTGCTCTCTTTAAAGTCCATGTCAACTGTTATCGATCCTAATCTAACAGACACCACAACATGCACTGAGGAAAGCAGAGAATCATAGGTTCATATTTTAAAAGTCTTCATTCAACTAAGCATTTAAATGTAAAAAAATAAATGGGTAGACTTCTAGATGTATAAAATCTAACAACATTAAATCAAGAAGTAAATTATTAAAACAGACACATAAGAACCAAGATAGAAATGATAATTTAAAAATCTCTCAATTGAAACAAAAATAAATAAATAAGTAAATAAAAGAAAGAAAGCCTAGGTCTAGAGATTCAGCATGAATTCTACAAAGAGTCTCAAAGAACTCATTGCAATACTCCTCAAAGGATTCCACAAAAGAGAAAAGGAAGAAACACTTCTATATTTTTGTGAAGACAGCAGTATTATCTTGATTACAAAAAAATCAACTTCTAAAAATTAATAACACAAGATAATATTGTGTTAATTAATAACTCGTGTTATAAAGAGCTTCTATATAAGTACTCAATTACCTGTACAAGAGACATACTCACCTACTATATTATGACTGGAAGCCATGATTACAGACTATGTCAATCTCAATGTCAAATATTACTAATTCCCAAAATACTAAATTATATAGTATACAAACATTCACATTTCATCTTTTATTTATCTAACATTGACTAAATGAAAAGTTCAATTGGATTGCTCAACAATCTTCTTCATGATACCCTATTTGAAGGCCATCTCTAAGGCTCATAAGTGTAAATGAGTCCTAGTTTATATCTTGTTGGTTTAAAACTCACACATTACACTCATCACCAACATGTTCAGATATGGCCCAGGCTCATGAGCACTGTCTGTGTTCTAAAATTTAATAATGGGAGCACAGTTTTGGTTTCACCTTCATCATACCTTATTAATACTAAATGATCTGTGAAAGCAATTACTTTTCAGTTACTGCTGACTCTAGGACAGGGTATTTATTGTCCACAAAATGATCTTCTTATGGTCATTTGTTATAAATACACATTGTATTTTAGGTGAAATGGTTGCTGTGGATATGATGCCCTAATCTATATATTATGGTATTGGAGATATTCCATGAAATCATAAAAATTTTGGTTATTGAACCTGCTATATTTTACACTATTTACACAAATATCTTAAAGAACTTCATCTCACTTCATCTCATTTGTTGAAAGACATTCAAATTTAATGTCTTCAAATGAGTGCTTTCAGTCCACAAGTCATGTAAGATACAGATATATACACATACACTTTGACAGAACCTTCCCAACTATAAGATGAAAATGTTTTACTGGCTTGACAACAGTGAATTAATTAACAAATAATATAAGATCCTGATGCTTCCCTTGCTTATGAGTGAGGCTTACCTGGCATGGAAGAAGCCAGTCCATGTTTCTGTCTTCTTTAGATCGCATTTCAATTTTGATCAACAGCGTTTTATAGAGGGCATGGGACACTGTATACACTGCATTCCATATGGAATAGCTGGGCTCAGAAACGGTCACCACGTCATTTTCTTCTGGTTTAATCTCTATAGAAATTGGGTCATGATTTTCACACAGCAAAGCAGGAGGTGAGCAATCAAAACTGCCAATCCAGAATTCACGGAAGTACAAATTTCCTGGGTAGTGGGAAGGTGTACGTGACTAGAGAAAGTTCATTAAGTCAGGGATAGTTCTTGCCTTTGAATATGAGACACTTCCTTTGAAAAATTTCAACAAGTGATTCCTAGTTGATACGGACTCTAACTAAAATGTGTCAGTTTGCCATGTTCTACACCTTCCTTCTGATTGAAAATATTTTATTTACCATGTGGAAAAAAGTCAATTACTTATATGACTACAGAATACTTGCACATTTACCTGTGTATGTTGGTTCAAATTCAGCAAATCAACACCAAATAGTACTCAAGTTTCAATTAGCTGTCTTTCTTTCTTTCCTTCCTATTTTTCCTCCTCCATTTCTTACTTTCTCTCTTTGCCCATGTGTGTATGCCAACAGACCAGCAGAGGTGGCCAAATCCTTCTCTACTGAGTTCCCAGCACCCTAACAACTAAGCCTAGTGGACCTTACCTACTCAACCTCCAGCCCCCTAAACATTATTTATAGGGTCCTCCCTGTACCCATATGCCAATATCAATGTCCCTGTAGTGCACCCGCAGGCCAGCAGAGGGCGCTAAAACAACCAATACAAGGTCGTGCACAGCCTCACCCCCGGGCGGGGTGCACCCATCTCCCCTAGGATGTACGCAGGCCTGGTGGGAGCAGAGGACTGTGCCTCGTCCCTTACCGCCATCCCCCTGCCTGCGGTTCCGCCCCACGCACGAGCCACTTGGGGACTCCAGGCAGATGGATGGAAGGCGAGGGGTGGCCAGGGGAGGGCGGCGGGGAACCCCCAAATCCCTCCTACTACCCCCCCCTCCCACGTGTGAGCAGGACTATGAGTTCATAACAACTTGGGATAAGAAGATTGCTGACCTGGGTAAAACCGTTCCGGGTAGCACCGCGTCTCAAGCGGAAGTCCCGCCCCTTAGTCCTCCGCTTACATATCCGCCCTGCAAAGAGCAGAGACTTTCCGAGGCCGCCCCGCCACCCGCCACAGGGATGTAAACACAAACCCTCTACTCAGAGACGGACCTTGATCCCTTCGTTTCTCACTTCAGATTGCTCTCTGGTCAAGGTACTCCCAACCGTCCCAAGATGCTTCAAGGCACAGACCCACCAGCCTGAGAACTACAAACATGGCTTCGGAGCAAGGACTCCTGGGATTGTGTCTGAGAACTACAAAAATGACGTCCAGGTGGCGCCATGCATCCTGGGATTGCTCGTAGTCATGAGCCGGCGTCCCTCCCTGTCTGTGGCCCCTGAGTCACCTACGAATCCCAGAATCCCCTGCGCGCTGTTCTCAACAACATAAACACCGGGTTGTGGGGGCGGGGGCGGAGGCGGGGCACTCTCTGAATTCGAGGCCAGCCTGGTCTATAGCGGGAGTCCAGAATAGCCTAAAGATTTTTTTGTTTTCGAAAAAAAAATTTTTTTTTAAATTGTAATAATTTTATTGTCAGCATTGTTATTATTATTATTTTGTATATGGTTGTTTGGCCTGCATGTCCCCTCAACCCCCGTCCACACAGACACAGACATAGAGACGACTCTTAGTCCTCCAATCAGCATAGAGCGACTCAGGACGGGAATGGCCTCTCTATCTCGGCATCTGTAACCGGCGCGGGTTGATAATGCACTCCCGGCCTGGTTTGTTTTCGTTTTTTGGCGCGTTGGGCGGGGGCATGAGCTGTCGCGGCTGCGTTTTCTGGTAGACGGTGGCCGCGCGCCCCGCTTTCCGGGAATCTCATCGGGGTCTTGGGGCCCCGGAGGTTGCGATGGCGGCAGCCTTCGCGGTGGTGCTGGTGTTGAAAGCAGAAGCGGAGGAGGAAGAGAAGGACCCTGGGGACTGGCGGGATCCCGAAACCTCCCAGAAACGCTTCCGGCGGCTGCGCTCCGGGGACGTGTCCGGCCCGGGGGAGGCGGTGAGCCGCCGGCGGGAGCTGTGCCGCCGCTGGCTGCGGCCCGAGCCGCTCTCCAAGGAGCAGATGCTGGAGCAGCTGGTCCTCGAGCCTCCTCCCGCGCCGGCTGCGGGTCCCCGTGCACCACCGGCGCCCCGAAAGCGGGGAGGAGGCGGCGGGCCTGGGCGCGCGCCCTGCACCCGGCTTTTCCGCAGGTGAGGAAACCCCAAACCCCGAGACCGCAGGCGAATGAGTCTTCCCGCCGCCTTGTCAAGGGCTCCGAGAAGGAAAGCCGTATTTGGGGGTGTCAGAGTTGAACAAGAGCCACAATCCAGGGCCAGGAAGGCGCGACAGGGGTGTAGCTGGTCCCTTGTTTCCCAGTTAGCAGTGAGGAGGAGATGCACGCTGGCTCTCCCTTCCCGCACATTCAGCCCAGTCAAAGCTGCCGGGAGATGCTGGCTAGCTCAGGCTAGCCCCGAAGCCGCGTTTCAGGGGACCCTGAGTCCAGTCGAGGTGACATGGAATGCTTTGTTATCCTGTTAGTCGGCTTACTAGCTCCTTGCTCTCAGCAGGGACAGTGAGCACTAACTGAGGTCTTGCGCCCCTCCAGGGCACCCTGACTTTCAAGGCCGAGGCTGGATCTCCAACCCGGGGAGAATGGCAGCAGCTGGCCCTGTCCCTTCAGAACGGCTCGTGCTGAGAGAGCGAGGAGAACAACGGGAGCATGGCCGTGCCAGGTGAGTGATGCGCCTCTCTGATGCCTTGTGGTCCACGTGGCCAGGGTCTCCTCCCGGGTGCTGTGGGAAAGCATCCTTCCCAGAATACCCCAGTTCCTGTCCTCCTGCCTCTTGAATCCCTCTTCTTCCCTGAATGCCCCAGTTCCCATCCCCCCCCCACCTCCCTCTCCCCGGGAACAATTTATAAATCGACCCCTCCATCCCATCGAGACCTCAGGTCCTGACACTGACATTGGAGTCTGGGTTTGGGCCTGTTCTCTCTCTGCTCATGTTCTCCTGTTTCAGGCCTGGAGACCCGAGCTGCCTGAAACCCCGACATTATCCCAAAGCAGGAGGAGGACTGCAAGGAGGAGGCCGAGCCTGCACAGGCCTGGTGCAAGACAGGCCCCTGGGTACAGACCCTGAAAGGAAAGAGAAATCAACTAAAGATGCTGTCCTGCCACCACCACAGCCCCAGGGTTCTCCAGGAGAGCACGGCCACCTCACACGTCCCTTGGGCGCCCAACAAGGAAGGACTTTGGAGAAGTGGAGAGCTGGGGCACACGGCCACCTTGCACACCCTCTGCGGGACCAAGGAGGAAGAGATTTGGAGAAGTGGAGAGCCAGGGCACACGGCCACCTCACACATCCTCTGCTGGGCCAACGTGGAAGGGCTTTGGAGAAGTGGAGAGCTAGGGTGCACAACCACCCTGCAGGTCCCCTGCAGGGCCAAGGAGGAGGGGGTTTGGAGAAGTGACGACTTTGGGGAGGTTGCCACTGCCCCTGCCCTTGCTGGGGACAGCAGAACCTGGTGATGGCTTTGGGGAGGTTGCCACCGCCCCTGCCCTCGCTCAGGATCAACTGTGCCGCTTTTGTTCTCCCACTGGAGAACAAGTTTGCTCTGGGGAGTAGAGCCCGGCTCCTCTTCATCTGCTACTTTTGAGTCTGAAAACGACTGGTGAGCCATGCTAATCTACTTTCCCTTCCTTCCTTCTTCATCTCTTCCTCTCCATCATTCCCTTTCCAGTCCCCGATTCTTCTTAATTCATGTAGGAAGCATTTCCTCCTGACTGCTTTGGAGCAGTTGACTGTGTGTGTTCGCTGAAAGGTCATAGGTGGACTGGACCTTACTGTGGTTGCAGATGTAGTCCCTGAACGTGAGCCATCTTTTCGGTTCAGTTCTCTAGGTTTTGATGTGACGAGTTGGAAGCATGAAGTCCAGGTTGGTCTGGAGCTCACCATCCTCCCTCAGCTTCTTGTCCTGGAATTGCAAGTCTGCACCTTCATGCCCAGCAGCCTCTTTCTTGGACTGTTTCAGGTCCTCATTTTGTGTCCCAGGGCAAAGAATGCAGAGAACAGTGAACCTGACTTTAGCCACCTGTCCCTGAAGGTGTACAGACAGAACATTCCCACTGTCTTTAGCCCGAGGCTGGAGGAGACTCCCCACCCTGCTAGAGCTTTAAGAATCATGCCACGGGTTGCTTTTTAAAACCTGTCCTTCAACAGGGCCCTTTCCCCTTTAGCAAAAGGAAAAGCAAAGAATTTATCACTGTTTTGTGTTGACTCTTTGGGGCAGAGTCAACCTACCTTCAGTACCTACGTCAGGGTTTCCCAGCCTGAGGAGTGTGACCCATCCGTGGGTAAAATGACCCTTTTACAAGGGCCACCCAAGACCATCAGAACACACTTAGGTTACACTTTACATCAGCAGCAAACTTGCAGTTACAAAGCAACAATGGCAATATTTTCTGGGGCAGGGCACCACAGCTCGAGGAAGGTTGGGACCTCCCGGCCCATGTGAAAATTTTTCAGACAACCAGCCCTGTCATTTATATTCAGGCCTAATAAGAAAAAACAAAAAAAAGCACAATGGGCAGTGTTGCTCAGTTGCTCAGTGGTGGAGCATCTGCCGAGTCTGTAGCAAAGTGCCAGGTTCAGTGCTCAGCTCCGTGAACAAAAAACTAAAAAGAAAAATCTGGGTGGTGAGGGTGGAGCTTAGATAGTGTCAGGCTCTGTGCTCAGCAGTTTGTGGTCCATTAGTTATCCAGGATCCCCCGTCTCTCCCAGCAAATAAGAGAGGATGGGACTGTCTGGACACGTCCATAATTGCCTGTGACCCCCAGGCAGGAGAAGCCGACGCCTCTAACCCTGCAGACCCTTAGCTGCTGCTGTCATTTGGAAGTTGGGCTTAGGGAGCTAGAAGTTTGCTTTGGTTTGGTTTTGAAAACAGGGTTTATCTGAGTCACTCTGTAGCACACGATGGCCTCGAACTCACAGAGATCCCCCTGCCTCTGCCTCCCCGAGTGCTGGGATTAAAGGCGTGCAGCCCATTGTTGTTTGAAGAGTGTTGAGGTTCAGGCTCCCCTCCCTCTTCCTTTCTCCTTCTCTTCCTCCTCGACTCCTCCTCCTTTTCCTCCCCTTTTTCCTCCTCCTACTTCTCAAATCTTCCTTGCCTCCTCCTCACCGTCTTCTCCTCAACTCTTCCTCCTCCTCCTCCTCTTCTTTCTCCTCCTTGACTCCTCGACTCCTGGTCTTGCTGCCTTGGCTTCCAGGAGCCACACCCACGTTTAGATGCTTCCCAGAGAGTCAGAAGAGGCCAGAGGAGGCAGAGCCCTTCCCCATCCCTCAACCTCCTAAGGCCTCAGGGGTGACAGTGGAGCCAAGGTGGGGGGGGCAGGCCGCCCTCTCTCAGCCCTTTGTTGGGTATCTTCACCTCTAGCTTTATTTGCGTGTGTGTGTGCGCCCAGGACATCCACCTGGCTACATGCCTGGGTTCCAGGAACAGGCTGCCATCTCTGGCTCCCTGTGGGTGATGTGGATCCGAACTTGGGTCCCTGTGCAGGTCCAGCAAGCACATCCCTGGCTGTCCTTTCCTGCATCCACCCATCCTAACCCGCCTCCTGCCTCCTCCCCCACTCTTTCCACAACAGGGTGTTCTCGGCCTACATCAATGAGGTGGATGAGAACCGGCCAACACCCCGTGGGGCAGCAAGATGCCCTTCGGCCAGCTGATGGCAGAGTTTGGCAGCAGCAATGGCTGGGTATATGGCAGCAGCTTCTCGGCCAGCACGAGTCGGCTGGCCTGGGTCAGCCACGACATCGGCCTCCAAGAGCGTGCAGTGAGTCCTCGCCTGGCTGGTGGGGGGCATAGGGGAATACAGTTAGCGATCTGTACATGCTGGCTCTCCATGGCAGATAGAGGGAGTGTATACAGCTAGGGGGAGTATATACAGCTGGCCATCTGGACACGCTGGCTCTCCTTGGCAGCTAGGGGAAGTGTATACAGCTGGCCACACACACTCTGGACACTAGTCTAGAGCACTGCAGCTAGGAGGAGTGTATACAGCTGGCCGAGAGGCCCAGGATAGAGCAGCCGGGTCCCACTGAGGGTCAGTAATCCACCCCCACCCGTCAGGCAGCACCTGTAGCACCCTGATGAAGATGATGGCTGGGAGGTGGCACTGCTGATGTCTGTGTTCTCATGTCTGTGGTCCCCACCAGCCCCCAGAGAGATGTGACGGAGCGTGGTGGCCCAGGAGCCGGAAGCAGGAGGCTCAAGAATTCAAGGTCAGCCAGGTCTCTGTCCCAGAAAACCAGAGCTGAAGCTGCTGCCCCCATCCAGCACACACACACACACGAACACGCACATGCAACAAGTGTGATAATACAAAAGGTAGTATAGGGCCTGGAGTGATGGCTCAGCAGTTAAGAGCTCTCACCTAGGCCTCAGGATTTGGTTCCCGACACCCCTTTGGCAGCTCACGACCAGGTCCATGGAATCTGATGCTCTTCCACCTTCCACAGACACCAGGCACACATGTGGTGTGTGCAAAACTACATACATACATACATGTGTACGTGCATACATAAATTAGCTGGGTGGTGTAGCATGCCCATGACCCCAGTACTCAGGGAGGTGGAGGAAGGGGCATCTCTGTGAGTTCAAGGCCAGCCTGGTCTACAGAGCAAGTCCAGAACAGCCACGGCTGCGTAGAGACCCTGTCTCAAAAAAACAAAACAACAAAATGACATAAATCCTGAGATAAAGGTCTAGATTTAGGGACACATGTCTTTAATTCCAGGAGTCAGATGAGGATTGGTCTCTGTGGAGTTGGGGGCAGCCTGGTATACAGAGTTCCAGGGCAGCCAGGACCAGGCAGTGAGGGGAAGAAGAAGTGGGAGGGAGGGAGGGAAGGAAGGAAGGAAAGAGTAAGGAATGGAAGGAGGGAGGGAGGGGAGATGGAAGGAAGGAAGAAGGCTGTGCAGACTGAGGTGATTTGAGCTCTTGGGGAAGGAGATTCCATGCCCTGAGGCCAGGGAGTACAGCAGTGTGGCAGAGAACCAAGGTCTCCAGGGATGACAGCTCTACTTATCTCCAGACACTGGAGTCATCCATCTAGGGCCTCCACAGCATGTGAGGAGGAGCCACCCACACTAGGAACAGGGCTCCTTAAACAAAGTAACATGTCTTGGACATAGTAATAAAATATATACTTAATAAAATATATACTTTAAATATTCAAACTGTATGAGCAGAGACAGCAGAGAAACCAGAAAAATAGCAGCTGTTTCATTATTACAGTGAGTAATTTTGTTATGGATGAGAGAGGAAAAATGTTCAGAGGCACCTGGAAGAGTTCAGATCAGAGAGAAAAAGAAGCAGACTTGATATGACCAAGACTGTCTTGAAGAAAATAGAGAATATTAGGAGATAAGTAGAGGTAGCTTAGACAGAGACAAAGTATGCTTTCATCAGTGCACAGACTGGACCTAGGTCCCCCTTCACTTACATAGCGGATGTGCAGCTTAGTCAACATGTGGGTCCCCTAACAATTGGACTGAGAGCTTTCACTGACTCTGTTGCTTGCCCTTAGTTCCCTTTCCCCTAGCCAGGCTACCTTGCCTGTCCTTATTGAGAGAAAATGCTCTTAGTCCTGCCTCATGTGATATGTCAGGGTGGGTTGTTACACATAGTGAGCCTCTCGGAAAAGAAAGAGGGAATGGGGGAGGGGAGAATGAAGGTGGGACTGGGAGGAGAGAAGGGATAGGGCCTGGGATGAAGATATGAAATCTATAAATAATTAGTGTAAAAAAAGTCAGGGTATTTCTAGACTATTCAGGAAATTAGGATAGTGCAGAAAGAGATGAGGCTGTTTGGGAAGGCACAGGAATCTAGATGGGTGTTTTGAGGTGTATAACAAGTACGTTTACTCCCCCTTCAGGCAACCTGGAAACCACCATGAGTGTTAATATCCTGATAGGAGCCACAGGTCAGTAGAGAGCAGTATGTTCCTTTTGTCAGACAAGAAAAATGGTTTTTTTGCTGGACAAGGACTATTTCACTAATTTTGGATGAATGCTGTTTTTGGTATGTGTGTTTATTTGTTTGTTTGTTGTTTGTTTCTAATCACCAGAATTCCTTTGATACTTCGTGTTGAGCAGGTCCAGGACTGACATTTTTGGATAATTGAACTTCCTGGGACCTAACAAGTTTAAACTATTAGGAAAGCCTGATTACACTAGTCACACCTATTATGTCCTTTTAAAAAGTAATGGGTTGAGTTATCACATGCCACTGTAGAGATTTCCTTCTGATGTGTTTTTATTTCCCATACTCAAATGTGTCATATTATTAAAATCGTAATTATTCAGAATATCTTACTACTCTTGTAGAGTTTTGCTATCTTAATTAGAACTGTGTAATTACACTTATTAATGAAATTACACACTGTGCACAAGGCAAAAATTATTACTATCACCAAAATACAATCATTTTAAAGACAGGCATTCTAATTTTGAATGATTTGTCCATAACTATTATATGTCCAATGTATACTACATTTCTTTATTATGAAAATATTATGTTTCAAATCAGGGATAAGACAAGGCTGCCCACTCTCTCCCTACCTCTTCAACATAGTACTTGAAGTCCTAGCCAGAGCAGTAAGACAACTAAAGGAGATCAAGGGGATACAGATCGGAAAGGAAGAGTTCAAAGTGTCACTATTCGCAGATGATATGATAGTATATATGAGCGACCCCAAGAATTCAACCAGAGAACTCCTCCAGTTGATAAACACCTTCAGCAAAGTGGCAGGATACAAAATCAACTCAAAAAAATCAGAAGCCCTCCTGTATACCAAAGACAAAATGGCCGAGAAAGAAATTAGGGAAACAACACCCTTCACAATAGCCACTAACCACATAAAGTACCTTGGGGTGACACTAACCAAGCAAGTGAAAGACCTGTTTGAGAAAAACTTCAAGTCTCTGAAGAAAGAAATTGAAGAAGATCTCAGAAGATGGAAAGATCTCCCGTGCTCATGGATTGGTAGGATTAACATTGTGAAAATGGCCATCCTGCCAAAAGCAATCTACAGATTCAATGCAATTCCCATCAAAATACCAACTCAATTCTTTACAGACCTTGAAAAAAAGATTCTCAGCTTCATATGGAGAAACAAAAAATCCAGAATCTCCAAAACAATCCTGTACAACAACAGATCATCTGGAGGTATCTCCATCCCTGATCTCAAGTTGTACTACAGAGCAATAGTAATAAAAACTGCATGGTATTGGCATAAAAACAGAAAGGAGGATCAATGGAACCGAATCGAAGACCCAGAAATAAATCCACACACCTATGAATACTCGATTTTTGACAAAGAAGCCAAAACCATTCAATGGAAAAAAGACAGCATCTTCAACAAATGGTGCTGGTCCAACTGGATGTCCACATGCAGAAAAATGAAAATAGATCTATATTTATCACCCTGCACAAAACTAAAGTCCAAGTGGATCAAAGACCTCAACATAAAACCAGATACTCTAAATCTGTTAGAAGAAAAAGTGGGGAACAGCCTAGAACTCATTGGCACAGGAGACAACTTCCTGAACAGAACACCAACAGCACAGGATCAAAGAGCAACAATCAATAAATGGGACCTCATGAAACTGAACAGCTTCTGTAAAGCAAAGGACACTGTCATCAAAACAAAACGCCTGCCTACAGATTGGGAAAGAATCTTCACTAACCCTTTATCTGACAGAGGACTAATATCGAGTATATACAAAGAACTAAAGAAGCTGAAAAGCAGCAAACCAAGTAATCCAATTAAAAAATGGGGAACAGAGCTAAACAGAGAATTCTCGAAAGAGGAACATCGAATGGCAGAAAAACACTTAAAGAAATGCTCATCCTCATTAGCCATCAGGGAAATGCACATCAAAATGACCCTGAGATATCACCTTACACCCATCAGAATGGCCAAAATGAAAAAACTCAAGGGACAACACATGCTGGAGAGGTTGTGGAGAAAGGGGAACCCTCCTCCACTGCTGGTGGGAATGTAAACTGCTTCAACCACTCTGGAAATCTATCTGGCGCTTTCTCAGACAAATAGGAATAGTGCTTCCTCAAGACCCAGCTATACCACTGCTAGGTATATACCCAAAGTTTGCTCAAGTACACAAAAGAGATATTTGCTCAACCAGGTTTATAGCATCTTTATTTGTAATAGCCAGAACCTGGAAACAACCCAGATGTCCATCAACGGAGGAATGGGTACAGAAATTGTGGTATTTTTACACAATGGAATACTACTCAGCAATCAAAAAGGAGGAAATCATGAAATTTGCAGGCAAATGGTGGGACCTAGAAAAGATCATCCTGAGTGAAATATCCCAGAAGGAGAAAGACAAACACGGTATATACTCACTTATATAGACCTATAAGATATGATAAACATAATGAAATCTATACACCTAAAAAAGATAATCAGGAGAGCGGACATGGGGTAAGATTATCAATCCTCGTTTTGAAAGACAGATGGGATGCACATTAAACATTGACAGGAGTCTACTGAGCGCATTTGAAAAACTCTTAACTAGCAGTGTTTTCAAAGCAAAGACTCATGACCAAACCTTTGGCAGAGTACAGGGAATCATAAGAAAGAAGGGAAGTTAGTCTGATGAGGAAAGGATAGGAGCTCCACAAGGACCAAATATATCTGGGCACAGGGTCTTTTCTGAGACTGACATGCAATCAAGAACCATGTATGAATGTAACCTAGAACCTCTACTCAGGACTGACATTTTTGGATAATTACACTTCTGGGAACAATATTAAGACGGGAAAGTGGAGATAGCTCAGACAAGTAAAAAAACTGCTTTTATAAAGAGATAGTTTGCTAGAATATTTTGGGAGTTAGCAGAGTGTAGGCTTGTTTGGGAAGTGACAGGAAACAGGTGTGGGTTCTGAGATGTATAACATGTACTTTTACTTCCCCTTCAGTTGACCTGGAGGCCAGCATTGGTGGCTGATATCCTGATATCACAGGTCGATGGAGTGCCATATGTCCCTTTTGCCAGAGACAAGGAAAATGATTTCTCTTGCTGTGTAAAAAATGTATCACAAATTCTTGATGAATGTTGTTTTGTTTTTTTGGTGTGTCTGTTTTGTTTGTTTGTTTGTAACCCCATTAATCCTCCTATACTCCATCTTGAGATGGACAAAGGAGGCCACTTTTGGACATATGTGCTCCCCACTGAGTAGTTTAAACCATTATAAAAATCTGATTATTCTCTTCACATCTATTTATGTCCACTTAAAAAGTAATGGACTTCTTTAGTTATGGTGTTGCAATGCCAATGCATAGATGTATATCAGTATTTTTTACTGGATTCCAATGTTTCAGCCATTTAAAGAAGAAGTATTGAGTAGAAAATCTTTATTAAGTACTTTACAATTTGCTAGAGTTTTGCTATCTCATTTAATACTGTAAAATTATACATATTAAACTACACAGTTTACAGAAGGTACATTTTACTAGCAACAAAATTCAATCATTTAAAGAAATAGGCATTCCAATTTTACATGATCTGTTCGTGATTATCATGTGTCTAAGGTATACTACATATTTAATCATGAGATTTACTGAGTATCTTCCACGTTGTTTCAGTTACAATTCTAAATGTCTTTAGCCTTTACTATATACTAATAAGCAAGTATCCTCCTCTGTAGACATCAATGCTGTCTCACTTTTTTGTGCATGAAGCTTTCTGACTATCTCAGTAAAGCACATTCTCTTTGAAAACCTATGATTTTTACCTCTGTTAGGCTCTAAGGTTCACAGGGTTAATGACAGGGTAATGCCTTTTTCAGGTGGAACTTTGATAGGTTAAAACATTAGGAATTAATAAATGGGGATAAATATACATTTCACCATGTTTGGCACCAAGTATTTCACCTCCTATTGCATACATATTACATCATGGTGAACAGTGGCATCCATGTTGCTACTTCAGTGGCCAATTTTTAGGGGTTGCCTATTTGGCCTTCATTTAATGTTTGGCATCAATCTGTCTTTTTTGTGAATCACTCTAGTATTTGAGTATTTCTTTTTCTTTTCCAATATGATGCTTTGCAATGTGCTTCCTGCTTTTATTTTTAAATCATGAATAATATTGGCAAACCTCATTAATAATGGATAGTCTTTATTACTCAAAATAAAAAAAATGATTTTAGTTGAAATTCAATCACTTCATTCACCCCCTTCCTCACTCTGGGTAAGTGGTTCTCAACTTGTTGGTCCTGAACCTGTTAGAGATGTCATATTTGATATCCTCCTAACAGAGTCTTACAATAGAATTCATAACAGTAACAAAATTACAGTTATAAAGTATCAATGAAATAATTTTATAATAATAAACTGTAATAACCATAAAATATTATGGTTGTATCCTATGACATGAGTAACTGTATTAAAGTTTTAACCATTGATCCTACCAGCTACACTTTTTCCAATCTGAGTCTTCTCATTGCTCTCAAGTTGATCACTTCTGAGGAAAATAAAGCCTATTTCTCCAATCTAGTCCTCCATGTTCTCTCTGCACGAGCCGTTCTGGGTGACCGCAGCCAGCTGCTGCCATTCTCCCTGGGTCAGAGATCCAGCCTCGGCCTTGAAAGTCAGGGTGCCCTGGAGGGACGCAAGACCTCAGTTAGTGCTTGCTGTCCTTGCTGAGACCAAGGAGCTGGTGAGCCAAATGACGGGGTAAAAAAACGTTCCATGTCACCTCGACTGGACTCAGGGACCCCTGAAACGCAGCTTTGGGGCTGACCTGAGCTAGCCAGCATCTCCCAGCAGCTTTGAATGGGCTGAATGGGCAGAAGGGAGACAAGGGCAGCGCTAGCTTGACCTCTTCCTTTCTATTACATTTTAAGTACGTTTATAGCTCAACAGAATCCTGCTTTGGGAATTGAGGCTGTGTTTTAAAACTATGCACCTTTTGAAATTTAGTATGGATATCAGTCTTGTCCCAGTCTCCTGTCCCAGGAGAATCCATATTTACCCACATGGAAGCCTGTGAGGAGTTCAGCACTGATGGAATATACCAAACCTTGCTATTCCAAGGCCCCATAAAACGCAGAAGAGATAGAACAAGAAAAAACATCTCTCCTTGTTCAGTGATGTTTTGGATGGGTATAATATCCTGTGAGTATGTCCCTCATGCCTGCCATACTATTACAGGGTACACTTTGATTACACTTTACTGTATAAAAATAAAAGTTTTTGATTTATGTTTTGCTTTATAATTATGTCATTATTTCCCATTTTATTTATTACACATCCTGCCATGTTCCCTTACTTGGTCTCTTTTAAAATCATAGCTTCTTTTTTAATTAATTTTTGTTACACAAATATATATATATTAAGGTACATATATGTGTGGATATATATATATGCTCTTCCTATGGGAGGGGTATTTCTCTTACTCTCAAAATTTCACATTGGCACAGACTTTTTGAAGTAGGGTTGAAGCTTAGTGGGCTTTCTTCTGTACACATTTTCACTGTTATCAAAGTGAATTATTTAAAGTGGGATTCTGCTATTTGAATTGAGGAAAGAATATCAACAGTCATGAAAAGGAGAAAGGTGTGGTAGCAGATGTCAGCAACTATAGTTATTTTGAAGCTGACTTATGAGTATTGGAAGTTTGTGGACTTTGTGGACTACACTGTAAAATTTTTCTCAAAAACGATTTAAAATATGAAAGGTAAAATCACATTATATTAGTGGCTCAAAGTGGACTATATATGTAAGCCTTTGAACTCATAACTTCCAAATTAGTATGAAGAGATGAGAAGCAGACACTATCCCTACACTCATCAGGGGAACTGCTGGTACCAAGTAGTTTCTGCTTGGTGATCCTGCAGATACTAAGGACTGCTGTGATTGAAGCCATATATGTATGTATGTATGTATGTATGTATTTCATTGTTACATGTGAGCACGAGGTATTTTCTGGTTCACATATAATCTCCAGAGGCCATGATCATAGCCTTCATATTATTTTGAAAGGTATAAAATTGGTCCTGACCGCATCAAGTACATATTTTAAGGGGTATTCTCATAAGTATGTAAATGGATTTTAGGACAAACATCAATGAATGTCTACTCAGTTTTGGGGGGTAAATTTTCTGGACTTCATTTCTGAAGATCTATTTAATAAATTGTGAGAAAAATGAAAGGTGCAGTAGAGAGTTCTATACATTATGGGGACAACCAAACTTAGTGTCTGACCAATGCAGGCCTAAAATAAGTGAATGGCCCAGCTGTCTGTCCAATCTGTCCATCTTTCTTGTCATTTCTATTCAGTTCCCCTTTACTCCACAGTTTGAAATCCTCATTTTATTTTAAAAGATAGTAATCAACTCATTTGAAATTAAAAAAATATATACTGATCATTTTTCACCAATTTGTGAAACAAGTAAATTTCACTTTGACTTTTGAGGATAATGGAAACTAAAATGGGTGGTTTTCTAAAAGAAAATCTATTTGTCCCCCTTTGGTTGAATTGCAAAAGCAATTAAAACTTCTGAAATTATCATATTGTGAAAAGAGAATTTTCAAGGTTATAAGGGATGATTGTCATTTTGTCCATTTTCAATGCAGATTATTTCTAATCATAATTATTACAATTGGAAGTTACAGGTTTTATTAAGTATTACTTCGGGGGGGGATCCAAGATGGCAGCAACCAGCATGCAACATATCTGAGGGGCACAGGATCTGAAACAATGAAATTGGTGAGTGGAGGTGCTGCTGAACCCAGAACAACGACATTGAGGCTTCCAGGGAGAAAGGATAAATTGTGAACTGGGATAATTTAGATTCAGGTCACCCACGAACTTCTTGTGGGACTTCACCAGAAACTTCTCTGTGGACTTCTGGCAACTCAATCCCTAGGCGCTTCCCCTTATCCACCTCCCTACTCTCTCCTTGGCAGAGGCAGAGGAGGTAGCCTACAGTGCCCACCACAGAGCACAGTGTCAGGCCCACAGTGCTGGCTGCTCCTAGCAAAGAAACCTGGCTCAGGATGTGGGATAGAGAATACTCATTCACCACCACCACCACCAGGCACTCCCCTAGGACCGGCTGCCATTATCCTTCCCTCGCAGAGGTGGAGATATAGAGGCAGCTTCCAGCATTTGCCACGGAGCAAAGTGGCAAGCCCCTAGTGCCCGTGGCTCCTAGCACAGCACACAGTGCTGGCAGGCACCAAGTTCTGTGGCTACAGCACCACTCAGCTGACTGTTAGCCTACACCCAAATTGGCCCCAGCAGGATCAAATCTGAGAGTAGAGAATAAGGGGAACTGCTGTGCTTTCAGATTGGTCCTGCTAGACAATGAGTGTGACTTCAAGTGAGTGCTTGCAGAGCCCCAAATCCAGGGACCCTCTACACAAGCAGCCAGACATCAGATCCCTACCACCCACACCCCTGTTGTGGGCAACACAGGATTCTTGGGCAGCGTTCTCAACATTGAAGCCTCTGCTCTGTGAGTCTACCAGTGAATTCCAGGCACACAATTCCTGGAGCCCGATACAACTGTATACTAGTAGCCTGTAGGCAACTGAGGTAGTCAGGGAATCTGTGCCTACACACCTCACCCACTAATAGCACCTGTGAATAGCGCCAGCCAGCATTACATTCCTCCCTTAGGTACAGCAGAAATACCAATGCACACTCTCAAACCAGTGGACCTCTCTCCTTTTCCTTAAAAATACTCCAGACACCAGAAAAATATTGACCCAGTCTGAAGTACAGACTCTAGGAATAAACAGTGAGGGTTACAAATAAACAGATGGTCAGAGGCTGGCGTAAGAACACACACAACAAAATAACAACATGGCTTCAATAGCAACCCCCAAAATCAGTGGACATTTCAGTTTATCAGAAACACAAGAAAATGACTTTATTTTTTTAACTATGTTTATCCAGTTAATAGAGGAACATAAAGAAATAAATCTCTCAGAGAAATAAACACACAAATAGAGGCACATAGGAAGAAAACAGACAAAGCTCTCAAACAGCCAAAAGAGTAGAGGCACAATTAGTAACAGACAAAGAGGAAACAAACAAACAAAAAATAGAAACCGTTATAGAAAGGTGGGAATCCACATTCAAACTGATGAAGGAAATGGTATAAGACATGAAAATAGAATTAGAGTCAATAAAGAAAACACAAAGGAAATCCTGGAGCTAGAGAACTTAGTAAAAAGATCAGGAACCACAAAGGTAAGCATCACCAATAGAATACAAGAGATGGGAGAGAGAATCTCAGGTGTTAAAGATACACTTACAGAAATTGATGTCTCTCAAAGAAAAAGAAAATCAGAAAAGTTCCAAACACAAAAAATCGAAGAAATCAAGGACACCATGGAAAGACAAAATCTAAGAATAATAGGAATAGGTGAAAAAGGTCCAAGGCTCCAAGGTCCAGAAAATATTTTCAAGAAAATCATAGAAGAAAAATTTCCCAACTTAAAGAAAGAGATGTCCATAAATATACAAGAGGGCTACAGAAAACCAAATAGATTAGAGAAGAAAAGAAACTCCTTGTGTCACATCATAGTCAAAACACTAAACCTACAGAACAAAGAAAAATAATAAAAGCAACAAGGGAAAAGAGCCAAGTAACATATAAAGGTAGACCTATCAGAACCACACCATATTTCTCAACAGAAACTATGAAAGCCAGAAGGGCCTGGGCAGATGTCATGCAGACTTTAAGGGACCACAGATGCCAACCCAGTCTACTATACCCAGCAAAGCTTTCAATCAACATAGATGGGGAAAATAAAATATTCCATGACAAAACAAAACAAACAATATCTACACCACAAACCAGACTTACAAAAGATACTAGAAGGAAAACTCCAAACAGAAACATCTACGTCCAACAAAACATAGGATATAGATAAGTACACAACAAAAAATCAAAAGATAGAAGAAATGAAAAACAGTAACACCACCAACCCCACAACAAAAGAAATTAACATTCATTGGTCACTATTAACTATCAACATCAATGTACTCAACTCTCCAATAAAAAGACACAGACTAACAGAATGGTTGCAGAAACAGGATGGAACATTCTGCTGCACCCGAGAAACATACCTCTGCAACAAACACAAACACTATGTCAGAGTAAAAGGGCTGGAAAAAATGTTTTTCCAAACAAATGAACGCAGAAACAAGCTTGAGTAGCTATCCTAATATCAGATAAAATAGCCTCTCAACAAAAATTAATCAAAAAAGATAAGGAGGGGCAGTACATTCTCATCAAAGAAAAAATCCACCAAGACTACATCATAATTCTGAACATCTATGCCCCAAATACAAGAGAACCTACATTTGTAAATGAAATATTATTAAAGCTTAAATCACACATTGATCTCAACACCTTAATAGTCAGAGACTTAAACATTCCATTGTTACCAAGGGACAGATCATCTAGCGAGAAGGCAAATAGGGAAATAAAGGCACTTACAGAGGTCCTAAATCAAATGGACCTAATAGATGTCTACAGAACTTTTCACCCAAATTCAAAAGAGTATACCTTCTTTTCAGCACCTCATAGAACCTTCTCCAAAATAGACCGTATAGTTGGTCACAAAGCAATCCTCAACAGATACAAGAAGATTGAAATAATTCCTTGTATTCTATCTGACCACTATGGACTAAAGCTGGACCTCAACGACAATGAAAATAGCAAAAAGCCTACACACTCATGGAAACTGAACAATTCGATGACAGCTGTGTTAAGAAAAAAAAAAGAAATAAATTAAAGACTTCCTAGAATTCAATAAAAATGAAAGTACAACATACCCAAACTTATGGGGCACAATGAAAGCAGTGCTAAGAGGAAAATTCATAGCACTAAGTGCCTTCAAGAAGAAATTTTAAACATCTTGTACAAGCAACTTAATGGCCAAACTGAAAGCCCTAGAAAAAAAGAAGCAGATATACCCGAAAGGAGCAGATGGCTGGAAATAATCAAACTCAGGGCCGAAATCAATAAAATAGAATCAAATAAAACTTCAAAGAATCAATGAAACCAAGAGCTGGTTCGTTGAGAAAAATCAACAAGATAGACAAACCATTAGCCAAACTCACTAAAAGGTAGAGAGAAACAAGCTAAATCAGCCAAATCAGAAATGAAAAGGGGGACATAACTACAGAGAGTGTGGAAATTCAAACAATCATTAGATCTTACTATGAAAGCCTATATCACAC